ATTTTTGAAGGCTATGAAGCCACAAGAATCGTATAAGCTGTAAGCCTATGTAAGGGTTGTAAGCCTAGCTGAAACTGCGTTATAATCAACAGCCATCCAAAATATCGGCAGGCGCAGGTCTATCAAGCGTTGATCTCCAAAAAAGGAAGCAAACGAGAGAAAATAACTATGAATTTTCACAAATTCTAGCGGAATCTTTAAGTTTTATCAGAAAATTATTAATTTTATCCTCAATCTTCAAAATAGTTTTAGCAATTGGATCTGTAATTTCGATAAATTTAGAAGGGTCTGTAATGAGAGCAGAAAGGCTACTGTTGTAACGATTGCGGTCAACCAATACGACTCCCTTGCCCTTATCTGGCTTACAAATGATTAGGTCCTTATTTTTGGCCAAGTCCTTTAACAAATGGGTGTCACGGGGTTGGAAAACAGACGAGAAAATTTTATAAGCTTTGAAACCGTAAAAATGACGGTAAGCTAGGCTTTGCAAGTTGCCAAGAAATTCAGGACGATTGTTAATAGAAACATTTTTTAAACTAAGAGCAAGTCTTTCAAAGGCTAAAAAGTATTTATAGAAGTCCAGTTTAAAAACAGGCAAACAGAAATCAAGGCCGAAAGCAAGCAAGAATTTGGTTCGTGGTTCCAAGTTGTATGAACTAAAATTGAAAACGACTTTATCAGGGTTACAAGGATGGAATTTCATTATGGGTACCGAGGTTGCTGATTTTCTTCTGATGGGTCTGACTCGTAGTTTTCTTGAATTTTTCGGTTAGACGTCTGACATGTTGACGGATTGCGAAGGCATCAAGAATGGAAAATAAATTCCCAACCCGTGCTTCACTTTCGGTGATCAAATCGGTTAAATTTTTCAATGCATTCTTCTTGGAGGATAGTTCTTTGGAAAGGAGCTTATTCTGCCATGACTTGCAAAAAGACGAGGTATGCAGACAACGTTTGTAAAGTCTGAACCTCAGAAACTTAGGGAAAACACCGTAAACTTTGCACTTCACTAAGAAGTTGATGTCTAAAGAAGTCTTGGCCCACTTTCGGTAAAGATCACAGTACTTTCTAAAACACTGGCATCCATCTTCACCGTATTTTGGTCGGATATGAGTAATAAAATTACTAGATTGCTTAAATCGCAAGTTAATCAGGAATTTAAAAGCAAAGAATATTAACCATTTCTTAAGATTGAAAACGTTTAAGATTGAAAACGTTTAAGATTGAAAACGTTTAAGATTGAAAACGTTTAAGATTGAAAACGTCAGTTCAAAAGTTCAAAACCTATAAGAAAAGCAGAATCTATTAGAAAACTAAGTTCACATCGAAGATAAAAACATAATTGACAAAAATAAAAACAAATACACATAAAGAGACAGGCCTATCTATTTACAATTTCAAGGGGATAGGAGCTGAAGGCTGCATTAACCGAGGTTTCTGTTTAAAAATATACAGAGATTCTAAAATCCGAAGGTCAGTAACACCGGTCGTGTAAGCTAGAACTCTAAAATCACTATCGGACACCGGAACATTGCACTGCTCGGCATGGATACCGAGAAGATGGAGCTCGGCTGAATGAGGAGGATGCGCAAGTAAAGTTCCCGTTCTAAAACTTCTGCCCTTATGTCCGCCAGCCTAGTGTAAAAGTTGCGAGACGTCATACCGACGTACGCTGATGCGCACTGCGCACAACTGTATCTATATACTAGGGACGAACGCATAAAAAGAGGGAAAGCATATTTATACTTGAAGAACGAACCGATTTTGAAGTTATTCACCAATATCACCTGCAGATAGCAGATTTACATTCGGAAGATATTTATTGACCAAATCTTTCAATTCCTTAGCCATAGTCTCAAATGCTTTAACGAAGTAGGGAAAAGAACAGTAAATCAGGTTCCTACTGTCACAATCGGGAACAACTTCATTATATATTTTCATTCTTAAGAAATGGTTAATATTCTGGCTGTTTTCTTTGCTTTTAAATTCCTGATTAACTTGCGATTTAAGCAATCTAGTAATTTTATTACTGATATACGGGAAGAGTTGCAATTTGGGAGCGTTCTGACATTTATCTCGATCAACAGCCGACGATTTGTTGCAATTCATTTACTACATCATAGTTACATTGTCCAAGTGATGAAACGAAAGTTCACCCTAACTGTACCGTACTCGAACGGTTATCATGGATTTGAGCACTCAACTGCAGGCACGAGGGCCTGAAAATGCGTTATCTTTGAGATATTTTTAATTGACTCAACAGTAAAAAGCAAGTAGGCTCCAAATTTTAAATTAAATTCTAAACCATAAATAAAGAAAGTCGTTAAACATCAATGTAAAATAACTTGTCATAGCATCGGAATAAATGGTAGTACCGTAGCTGAAAAAATGTAACGAGTGACCGTTAGGAGTTAGGACACTTAGTTATGAGGGCTTGCAAGACCTGCGAAAGAAATTTTAAAGTAAGCGTTTCATCCTACATCGAACTTGCATTGATATATATGCGTAGCATTTCATGTCGTACAGCTTAAAGCAGGAGTTCGAAGGCGCCATCAAGTAATAAATCTAATAATGAAATAAAACATTAACGCACGTAAAGTTTGACGATGCTAAGACTGCGCGAGCCTGCCATGACCTAACCGTCCTAACGAACTATAGATGCACTGCCGCGATTCATATAGAGGGCCTTATTTTAAGTTCGGTTAAAATTAGTATCCGAAAAAAGGTATACAAAATATATTTGGCAGCGCGAATATGGAAAAATTTAAAAAGCGCGCGGGAACATCCTTCGTTTTTTACTCAGCAACGAAAACGGATTAGGCAACGACCCATTTTATCAACAAAGAATTTGAACGAGATAGAAAAAAAATCAGGTATGATTACAGGTAAGTGGCACATTTCCAAGACAATGAAGGCGCCCTTAACAATTTCAGCATTTACCAAAGCTTGAAGATGTAAATCAAATCTGTCGGGGAAAAAATGGCAGCTGAACTTGCACTCGATTCAGATGCTGCAGTCTGCCATGAAAAAGTAAGAAAATCGTGAAGCCTTACAAATAGAACGAGCACGCATGGCTTCACTCCGACAGGTAAACAAAATGGGTTTGCTTCTTGCATACGCTGTAATTCAGGTACCTAATCCCCTAAAAATCCGATGCGATTTCTTGAGATATTCAACATTCTGTTTCTTTAGAAAGTCTATACGACGGCGACAGGCCACTCTGATATGATATAAAAAATGATGGATCTGCTCCTCAACTTATGAACTATCTAATATTGCCCCGTGCTCAGTAGGAAATATAGGAACTTCAGCGAAATTCCATGTACGTTGATTAAATTTAGTGTGAAAAATTAATTGAGTTCTAAGTATTTATATAAAACATATTAAAAATATTTTTATAAATTAAATTTTGCGTCAAATTCTCAATCACCCAATGATAATTTTGAGGTCCGTTTTAAGGTGTTAATATACCTACCAGAGACAACAAGTGCAGCAATTGAACTAGAGACATGATATTTACACTACTTCCAAGTTCCATTGAATCCTCAACAGCTTTTAAGCAGCTCCTTTATTCTATAGATTTCCAACAGTCGGTCCAATGGGCAAAAAGAAATGGGTGAAAATGAAAAAAATAACAATGGCCACCAGCCGTCAACTATTGTGGCTTTGATTGCATGTCATGCTTCCTCTGCTGCAGCTGCCAAGAGGCCTCAGGCCATGCACTTCGACGAAGGTGAGCAGAGGCGAGGTTTTTACAAGCTTGAACTGCACTCAAGCAAGGGCAAAGAAGTGGATTCAGAAACGAGCGCAGGTCAACCTGCCAAAAACTCGGCTGAGGTCTTGGACATGCTAAGGAAACCGCATCAGCAGATCACTCACTGCTATCGAGTGACCCACCCGTACGACTGGTGTGTTTACTTAGTTTCGTCGTGTGATTGACTAGTGTATTTCCAGTCAATTACATTATGAAACTAAGAAAAATAGGTCACCAAGTCCAGTCACAAAACACTTTTCAATTTCTCTTTCATTAACTAGAATCGGAACGAAAAAAGTAGAATGAGTTTCAGTGCAGAACTTGCACATTGCCATTAATTTCATGTAATGAACAAGAAATTAGTTTATATTAATTATAAATTGTGGGTTACGGTGTGCGATTTTAAGTTAGTATTTCGTGAGTGAAGTAGTGAAGGAAATTGACGCACAAATTTCGGGACAAAGATATCAATTAATTATTAAATAAATAAATAAATAAAAAACTGACATACGGTATGGTTGAGAAGGAACAACAAAACTGACATTGCAATAACTTTAAGTGAACAGCAGCTCTTTATTTCGTTCTGTTAACGCTGGGTCCAGAAAGCAAAATGTATCATTCGGGCGAGAAGAACCCGTTGCAATTTAGTTTCTACTTGCGTAACGAAGCGAAATGCCACGAATCCCATCCAATGGGTTCGATCTCGAAGGCTGCCAAATTTAAATATTAAACGTGCGACAGTCTAAGGTCATTAGAACTTCTGATTATTGGTATGGTCTTTAACTAGTTTTCTAGGCTAGCAAAGTTTCCAGTTTTCTGTAAGACACGTTGCAGAAAAATGAATGAGAATCAGAACACGTTTAAATGAGAGCGTCGATTTACAAAAGTGCCAAAGTAAAATGACTAGTACAGCATCTTTCTGCTTTCATAATTATGACCTTTACCTCACTAACGCATTACGTGATGCGTCGCATTCGCTACAATTCAAATTAGATAGTTCCATATTAGAATATTAAATTTAAGCGTTAGTTTAATTAAAAGTGTTCATCAAGCTGTAGCGTCATAACTATTACATTGCAAAGCCATGCAATGTCAGGAGAAAGGACGATTATAACTAAGCATAACGTTGTTATAGAATTCCTACATAGAGTAATAAACGGATGAAATAGGAGATGAGATGGAGAGTGAACTTGGTAGTCAAGGTTATTCAAACATGTGGAGTTAGAACAAGTCGTCTGCTGCTCACCTGTACAAAGTCGATGCAGCTGCTGCAGCCGTTATCGACCGCTGAGACATACGAGAGCACCTCGTGCAACTCATATCCTTGAAGTTTATATGAGGACACGGCACTGTTCGTAAACTTCACGACACCATAAAACTAACTTCTTGGAATTCCGCATAGATTACTTCAACATTACCAACGACAAGAAGGAAAATAGATTGGACTCATTGGAAGCCTGTGGAAGGCGGAAGGAAATGCAGCCACGCTCTCTGGAGAGACTTAGCGATTTAACATCGTGTTCTTCTGACGTCACAAAATGACTGAGCATGAAATCAATTTAAATTTTAAATCTTGTCCATTTCTTTTCAAAAATGTTGATAAATCCCAAAATTTGCAATTAATCGGTATTAGATAAGATGTTATTCATAAAACAACGCTTGCCAAGCGAAATCTGGCAAGTTTCTGTGACGTCAAAACGTGCCGGTTGGCGGAACGTTGGCTGCCAGATCCTGCTGTCGCACCCATGACGTGGCTCAGCGTGAGCGTTCGTATGACCACTGACGTATGATGCTCAGGGATTGACGCATGATTTTCTGACGAAATTTTGTTCCTATATATAAATACATGCTCCAGAGAAACGAAATGGCCTGAGAATGTTACTCGACCGGACCGCTCACAACAATAAACATCAACAACTTCTATAGGTAGCTACTTATAAACTATCCATAATAGAATCATCATAAGTGGAACTGGAAGGAAAGTCATGAGGGGAATAACGAAATGAAATTACGTGAAGGTACATTAACACCAAGAAAATAAAATTTCATTCATTTTGCAGCGCAAACAAAAAAATAGTAAAATATAGGCCCATTAACTCTAAAAAATGGAAACAGAGAAGCAAATGTTAACTTACGTGGCTGAAGAAAGGATCTCGTCTTCTGAGAATCCTTGCACTACAATGCTGCTTTGAGCTCAGAAAGCCGACGGTGATTTCGAAATAGCTATCTATTTGAATTCAAGACAATTCTCATGTAATCAGAATCTCAGTCATACTCTGTAAGGTAAAATTTAGTTCAGTATCATGAGTACCTAGGTATGTAGCAAAATTTGGCTGAAAGCAGTCTCAAACGTAGAATTTTCAGCAATGAATCTAATATTTCAATACTTGCTAAATTGTCTATTGGAAAATATGGCAAACTGTCCAAGCGTGTATTATACCTACGATGGAAACATGCCATGAGAAACATGTAGGTAACTTGGGTAACAGAAATTTACCGGTGCGGAAATCACACCTCCACTTCACAACTTATCTACAAGCGCACCGAAGCAACTGCAATCCCAATCACACGGACGTATAAAATTAGCACACACTTATCGTCAATTCCGAAAGTATACACATTGACATCAATACAATTTATATTATTCAAGGTAACCTTAGCAGACACTTCGCACGCTACCAACATCCAATTCCAATGACTGGAAATGAGTTCGTAGTTTATTCCCACAACATTTGCGTTTGCTAACGACTCACAGTAAACAGCAAAACACGTATGCTTATAGTGTGCTGCTTTTAACACAATTTAATGGCGTAATTTTCTGTTTACAAGCTGAAACACGCAATATTTGCAGGAACTGCACCACCACGGAGACGGCTTGGTGCGCAGTGCGACAGTCAGAGCTCAGCCGCTATCGACCTGCCAGTGAGGCAACGGTTGGAGGAGGTGAGGGGGGGGGAACCGCGGTTGTAGAGCGGCCACGTGTAGAGAGAATGTGTGCGTGAGAGAGAGGGAGAAATTGAATACCGAGAAGTCGTCAGGGAACAAACAAAAGATATGAGAGTGTGGCTAACTGGTTAGAAGTGCGAAGAGAGGAACGAACAGAGAAGTACGAGTACCGAATGTTGGGATGGAAAGGCTCACGAAATAAAAGGAGGTCGCATTCTCAGTTGTTAATACTCTTGAAAGGGAAATGTTATAGAACAGGAAATTCTGGAGAGGGGCAGAGCGAGAAGTGGATGTGGCAGCCAGCCTTGGTGAGGGGTTTTTCCTTGATGATTCACATCGTTAGGATAGGGTTGGGCCTGTAAACGATCCTACTTCTTAAGAGAAGTTAGAAACTCAGAAATCGATAAGACATATCCTGGAAGGATGGTCATTGAGAGAAAGGATTTTGCATTTAAGGATTGGTGATACTATTATAAATGCTATTGTATTGTTGTCAATCATGCATGTTTTCGGTGCGTAGAAGCAATATGTATTTTCATAAATATGTTTGGGCGTTTGAGCATTCGAATTTATGACCTATAGAACTTGTAACAGTACCTATCACGTCCATTGGTCAAAAGAACATGTACCAAAATGCTTGTAGCCTGTCGACCGAGGCACACCACAGAATAGCCGTCAGGTGTCGGCGCCTTGTACAAACTGCAACGTGCAAACACCGCGTGCACCTGAGGAATATTTACCGCACCTTTCGTATGATTGATTGCGTTTGTTAAAATTTGCACGTTCAATATGACTCTTCTATTCCTTCTACCGCTCAACCTACTTTTTAACTATGATTAATATTTTGTGCAACTTAATGACCTGTTTTCAATTAATATATAAACGAAAACAATATTTAAGAATTGTATCCAAAATACTTTTAACTGTAAAATACCCACAATATGTTTAATTTTATCATTTTGTGTGATTTTTGTTATTGTGTAGATGCCGTAGCCTAAATGATTATTCACCCAATAACAAATTAGCTCAGAATTTCTGACGTGGCTCAGGGATTGTCGCCGCCGGCAGAGAGCACTAGCGGGTCGCTTATAGTTTTGCTTTTATTTTTTCTTTTTTTACGTTGAGCCAATCTACCACAGGAAATGCAGTCCATTTTTCTGGCTTTCAGAGTCTCGGTTCAGTATCAATGCGTTCTTTTCGTTATCGGCTGTAAAGCCGCATTGGTCATCGGAATATAGTTATGAATGTTTAGCTCTGGAAATGCAATGGACTGAATTGTGCCTATTTATTTTCTTATTATCTGATCGCAAGGCCACCCTCCATTCAGATGAATAACTACTGTAATAATATTTAATTTTACTGAAAAACATATTAAAAAATCTCCACCAATACATGTTCTGAGATCTTCAAATAAAATTCATACAACTTTTATAACTTTTTGATTCATGCTGTGGGAGCTGAACTAGTCGGGCACAGTACAGACTCGAGAACGTCTTGTTGAGCGCATCTTGAGTGGCATAGTAAAGCGTGCGTATATTTAACATAGTATAGGCCATGCTTAATCAAATGTGCGTATATTTAACATAGTATAGGCAATGCTTAATCAAATGTGCGTATATTTAACATAGTCTAGGCAATGCTTAATCAAATGTGCGTATTTTTAACTTAGTACTGAACACGATGAGTAAAAGGTGCGTATCGTTAACCCGGTACTGAGCACGCTTTGTAAAGCGTGTATATAGTTAATAATGTACTGAACAGGCTTAGTAAAGGGTATGTATAATTAACATAGTACAGGGCAATGTAAGTATAATAATTCATTGAAGTTCTATCATTATAGTTTTTAAAAGCCTTTCTCACAGAATACAACCTAATTTTCGATCTGAATATCTTACGTAACCTATCAAAATTTTCAAAGAATTGTTCCAAATTAAACAGCAAGAGCGGAATATTATTTTAAATTATGGAATTTTGTTGAGTGTTGCCGTCCTAAATAACATGTAAGGAAAAAGTGAGTGCAAAATAAGGTTTAATCTATAAAATTCTTCGATACTTAAGAGGGCAAAGACTCAACTGCAAAAAAAATAAATAGACATTGTTACAACACATGATAAAATTTACATTATTATTTATAAAAAATCGAGTTTTTATTGTTAATTGGGCCCAAAAAACTGATATATTCCCGGAAGTAATGTCAATCACTGGATGAAATCAGATAATCATAACGCGTGAATTTTGATTAATTATGGAGTAGATTCTTCAGATGCCAAAAATTGTTTTCATTACTAATTTATTTGTTATAATTCCGCCATAAATTCATCACTTGATCAAGCCCTTACATTTTGGTCCATCGGATGAAAAACTAGCTTAGTGATGCGTTCCTTCAATAGCAAAGAGAGAATAGGCCAGCGATTGGCCTCTGCACCAGCTGCCGTGTTGCACCCACTCTGCATGTGTCGTCGGAGCCTCGGTAAATACGAATAACGCGAGTGTCAATACAGTACAAGAAACTGATGAGCATAAGCTCGCGAGACAAGTTCGCTGTGCGTCCTTTTCAAAGCGGAAATCCTTTGACACGTTTTATCATTGTGTGAAAAAGACACAATATTTCCCTTTAAAAAACTAACCAATTTACCGATCTCAAATTTAAATTCTGCGAGCTGGTCTTATGATATGCAATGCCACAGATATGTGGCGCAAGCCGAAATTGTCCTGCTGTTATCGCGCCATCAATTGTGTGGCCTTAACTTCAGTGGTATCCGATCAGCTGCATGCAAGTAGAATTGAGCGTTTCATAACCCCACACAAACAGGACTGGGTGAAGTTCTGTATCATACAGATCCATAGGCTAGGAGAGTATCCGTATGTTATAGGTTCCTTTATAGTAACAATTTCGAATAGAATGTAAATTGAAAAATTTTATGTCTCTATTTTTCAATTGCAATCATGAGCAAAAAGAAAGTTCATCCCACACACGACTAATCATAAAAAAATTTAGTTTCAAGATAACTTTCATATCAAGTAAATACATTGGCCGAATAAGTATATTGCCTAAAAACTGCAACGAACTCAGTCGACAGTTCATAAACTTTTCGCATTGTAAAATATTCGCTCTCTGGAGTACGTCGAAATCGATTTTGCCGAGACAAATGATGCCAGGTGCGTGACCTTCTCCCTGATGATAATTTATCATTAAGATTGTAGACATTTTTTTAATTTTCGTTGAAAAATATATCACTCGACATCGACTGACGCAGAAAGCTTAACTAAAAGCTGAGGCTTCCGTGAAACGTAATTATATTACTTTGTTGTAACAATATTCAACTTGATCGGAAATTAGGTGTTGGAACAATAAATTCGATTGTGCTTGCAAATCTACCAACATAGCAAGAGCTATATCATCCGAAAAGCGCGCTCTGACATACCGCAAAAGATGTATACCGCCAAATATACACCACCGAAGATACGAGTATTTACCATATTAGTACCTAATTCAAATGCGCTAAAAAAAGTATAACTCTATTTTCCAATAACCATTTCCTCTGATGCTAATCTCTAAGCAGGTTAGGTGTTTTTTTACATTCTATATAAAAATTTTATCGGTTCGTAGTTGGTGAAATGTCGACTTGACATTAAACCGCCCTAGCTTGAGCACGAATAATATAGGGAATTGCCCCAACATTTTAGCTCGTATAACGATTGGATAGCGCGCAAATCCTGCATCTAGAATTTTTTCCTCCTCTCACAAAAAGATTAAAAAAACATTTTCTGGTCCTTGAGCTGAAATAACGATCAATATAGAAAAGTAATTTTCACTTACATCACTTGGTTCATTCCAATGTTGCAGTAAAGATTGCTTTTGATGCGCAACGAGCGGAAGGCGATATACCTCCCTCCCATCACAGCTTGCACTTACTCTCTGAACTTATTCGTGAAGAAGAGCGGAAGTATTCCTGATCCGATAATGTTGCAGGCTTTCAGTACCGAGCGCGGCCATTGTGTGGGGCGTTCGCTGACGCCCATGTTCCTGAATAGA